TTCATAAATTCTGTGCTATTCAAAGTGTCATTTCATGCTTTTTGAAAGGCATAAAGCCCTTGCCTGTGCACTGAATGTATACATGCCGTTTGTTTCTGTTGTAGATTTTACTGTTCAAAGTTTGGCTCCAGAACGAGCAGGATTTGCTGCGGCCTGTCTCGCACACGCTGAACCTCCATTGCCTCTTGGGGGCGCTGTGCCATGTCACCAGCCAGAGCAGGCAGGGGAACTGCTGGCAGGAAGTTCAGGGTCTACTCAGCCATTCAGAGAGGGTTGGAGCTGCACTGATGGCAGCCGTAGTAGCTAGGCGTGTTGCCATGGAAACAAGGGGCCATTTAGAAAACACGGTAGGTGAAACTAACAGTTTCAGCTGTTTTTTTGCCCTCTGCAAAAGTCAAGTATAAACATTGAATAAGTTTTCATTCTTTTCAGGAAAAGTTAGTTTTTTTGCTTTATCTGGTAAGCAGTAATGATGTATTTGAAGTGACTCATTTGTCAGTATTCAAAACTAGAAAATGCTTAACTCCTTAAGGAGTGTACAGAAATTTGGATTTAAAACTGAGCATGCTTGGTTGTTGGTCATAACTGCACAAGTTATCAATTTCTGACAAACCTGTGCTCTAGAATGTCATGTACACGTACTTTATTTTGACACAAATTAAATTTCCCAATAACTGAAGCTCTCATGTGCTGTCTTTAACCACTTTGTGCCGGTAGCAGTTATCAATGTTGATGATGCTGGGGTGGGACAATTATCATTTTTTTCTGTTTTCAAAATTCTTTAACCCCTTGACGACGGGGATTTCTTTCCGAAAGCCGACTCCAAGAATTCCAGCCTCGCTTTGCCACGAAGGCAACCTACCAAACCGCAAATTCTCGGTTTGTGGCCCTACATGCTTTGCACGCTTTGAATCACACGGTGAAAAGGCTGATTGTTCGGTGGCATGCGGCCCTACTCAAGCTTCCACATTCCCGTTGCCTCTTTTCAAAGTGGGGACTATTGTGAAGCTGGTGATTATGATACAAATTCGGTCTTTTCATTTCTGGGCTACACACAAAGGCCAATTACCATATAACCGTGGTATACTGTTTCAAAACAAGGCTGGATTATCTCCACTGTTGGGAGTGAAAAAGTGTTGGTAATGCCCAGCAACCTGGTCTTTTGTTACGAGTACGGTCTTTTGTTACAAGGCCCTGTTCCTTTTGTCTGATTTCGGAGACCTCGGCCACGCGTATAAAGAATATGTGTCCGGTACCGGAAACCCTGGTGGCAAGTGGTTAAATGTGCTCCTCCATAATGTTTCTTGTTTCTTCTTTGTCAACTTTTTATTTAGAGCTTGGAATCCACAGAAACCAACAAGGGCGATAGCAGTGACACACCCAGGATGACGAGCCAAGACTCAGGGGGCAGCCCCATGGATGTAGACACCCCCAGCTCCGATTGGGTGGACGTGACCTTTGACACAGAGGTGTGGGACCAGTTAGCGAGACGCTTGGAAGACATGCTTGCTCTCAGCTGTCTGGTGCATGCCAAACCAAGAGAGGTAATGTGAGATGGCCACATACATATTGTGATACATCATCCATGCGGATTATATAAATCTGCTCAGTTGCACCGAGGGTGGGTGCCAGTGACCAAGTGAGGATTGCATTCAGTGGAGGCAATTAGAGAAATGGAATTCTATGGAGGAACCATTTCTTTCAGTCTAGGGTGGTGACACATAGTGTGTACTGAAGACGATGCAACAAAGACAGTGTACAGAAAGATGCCCCGTTGCCTCCCCACCAGCTGTGCTTCTGGTGTGTATACATGTACATTGCATGTTATAGAGAGTCTTGTTTTTAATCTAGGAAAGAAACGTTACGTCAGTGCAGTCTGTGTCTTTATACTGGCATTGGCTCTGATAGATAATCAGAGAGTATGCTTTTGACATTTGCTTAAGATCTAATCCAACAACACAGTTGATAAAACTTGTGTCACCTAATCAGCAGACTTCATTGTAATACAAATCTGACCAACTCAGCTCCAGTAAGTGTGAGCAGTAAGCTAGCCTTGATGTTTGGCCTCCGTTCCTGTCTTGTTCCCAGGGTTCTTTCTCTAATCCTGGGAGGGCTCACAGCAAGGCATGGTCTGCCAGCCAGGACAGTGGGGCAATAGTCAGTGAGGGTCAAGTCATCGAGGTCTCCATCAACAAGATCCTAGAGGGAGGAAAAGGTCAGTGAGAGGAAGGGTCAAGATTCAAAGGTCATACCAGTTAGAGTAGTTAACATAGTGCGGTTCATTTCTCAGGCAAATGCAAAAGTGAAGCAACGTTGACATCACAAAACTTTTGCTGCAAAATTTGTGTTGAAATGTTGTCATCTTTTGATCTGGCATTGCAAAATAGGTTTGTGTTCACTTCCATGCCAAGCATGAACAAGCCTTTCTTATGCATTGAGAAATATGATTCGTAGAGTGATTTTGTCAGCTTCTGTTGTTGATTGACTGATATACTTTTTCCAAGGATCTCAAGAGGAGATGAAAACTTTATTCAAACTTGCCTTTATTTGAGAGCATTTGTTTGTTATTAGTATGTACATTTCTGTGACACACCATGGGAGTAATTTAATCTTTCCTGCACAGCATTCACATGTACATGTACATATCTAGTTTACCTCAGGAAATGGTTGAGATGAAAATAAACACATAAAGATATTCAAGTTCAAACAAATGTAACTGGTTTGATGACTTCTGAAGTTAAAGATCCTTCTCATGGTGATAAGTCTTGAAGGTTTGCATGGTGAAGAGGTATAATAGAAAGTAGGTTTGCGGGGTAGCACCATGGACGTATCTCTTTTGTGAGTATTTGCGGTTCTGAAAAGAACCAGTGGTACCAGACCATGCCTTTCTTTTCAGAACCGCAAATACTCACAAAAGAGATACGTACATGGTGCTACCGCAAACCTACTTTCTATCATCCTTCTCATGGTATTTAATACAGTTTGTCAGCAACAGCCACATTTTAATCAGTCTTTTTTGGGATATAGGTGTCATAGCTGAATATGTAGCTAGATGGGTGGCCCAGCAGGGTGTGCCCCCTAGCTTCTTGTCAAACTGCTCAGGAAGCAACCATGCATTTGGAGGGGCATCCAATGATGGAATGATCCTTGATGATGATGCACGACAGGTGCAAGGTCTGTTAATTGGATATTTCACTCTGTTTTTTTGTGCAGTGACAGTTGTTTTTCCAGAATCCTCATCTGAGACAAAGTTACAAGTGCATCTTTATGCTATGACTTGTATCTGTGAACATGAAAAATATTACTTGGAATGCAGAATAAGAGTAAACGTTTTAGGAAAAATTATGTTCCTGCTGCTGGAGACAGGTGCCATTTTGTAAAAGCATTCGTAAAGTACATTGCAAAGTCAACTGAGAATTGGTGGATTTAAACTTGTAATTAACTTTTTGGATTTCATTCGAACCTTTTTTACTTTCATTAACTTCCAACATTTCAATCACATTGAGTTTT